CGCGGGCTGCGCGCGGGGGGGGACCCCCAAGCCACCACCATCGGGGTGCACGGCCCAGCCCATTTCCCCCTATTGTCAGCCTCCCCCTCGGCAAACACATCCCCCTGTGCACCTGGGCTGGGAGCAGCCGCTGACCCCACAGCAACCAGCTGCCAGGAACGAGGGATGTGATGCCACCAGCATTCTGCAAAGTCGAAGCTGCTGCAGCGTGGCTCTGGGGAGCCCTTCAGGGCCCAGGGCCCCAGGCAGGCTGTTTACAGGCTGTTTCCTTGAGAAGCAATGCTGACCATTCAGGGATCACTGGTGCAGTCCTGCTTGCCCGCAAGGGCACCAGAGAGCCCCGTGTTTCCCTGAAAGAAATCAGCAGCAGTCTCCTGATGGAGAGGCCTGTGTTTCCCTGCACAGAAAAGCTGTTGTTGGGGAAGCCCCTGCCAGACCATGCCCATCCTCTTTCCCACTCTTACATGCAGGTGCATGCAGCTCCAACCACCCAGTTTCCAGCCCTCTGCCTTTTGCCTTCCACATAGACACAACCTGCAGAAGGCTGAACTGGTTTGTGTCAGGGTTAGCTACGAACCAAGTCCTCTGTGCTCACTGGTAGAGGAGCTTAGGAGAGAGCCTAAGAGCCAGATCTTGGGGCCAGAGGAAGCCATCCAACAAAACACCAGGGGTGAAACATGGGCACTCTGGGGTGAAGGGCAGGCACAAAGACCCCAGCATCTTATATCTTCGTGCTGCTTTGACCTTGGGAGTCCCATCACAGTGTAGGATGTAGGTAGCTGCTGGGGAGGGAACTCTTGCCTGCTGGGCAGGAGTGGCAACATCTACCTGATGGGCCCTGGAGCATGGGAGCTTTGGCATTTCCCCCAGTGGAAGCCTCCAGCCCTGATCAGACTCACTCTGGTGTCCTAAATAGCAGCAGCACAAAAACAATGCCCTGAGTATTTCAGAGGTGTTCTCCAGGGGCCTCGGGGGTCACACAGGAGGTCCTGACTACAGCTGGCTGAAGAGTGACGCAGGGATAAGTTTTTTTGGACTCTTTTCTTTCAAGATGCTGAAGGTGAGATTTTGCAAGGGAGAAGACACCCACGAGGGGATTTTGGTGCTCAAATGGGGCTGTTCTATGGAAAAGGGCACTTAGAGGCACCTTGCCTGCAGTGAGAAGGGTGGGGTTTCATGGGGGGAGTGGCTCTTTAAGGAAATCTCTTTCTGCCTTATGTCCCTGGCTGGTCCCTAGAGCTTCCTCTCCCTTGTTCCCAAAGTTTGTAGCTCACTCCCCAGGTCGCAGTGGCAGGCAGGGTGAGGGACACACCAGTGCATTTATAGCATCGACCTCCAGCCCTGTCCTGCAGCTGGGGAGGGGTAGGCTTGGCCCCTGGGGAAGGAGTGTGGCAGAGGGGAAAGCAAGCGGCCGTGGCCCCAGCCAGCTGGATGTTTCTCCCATCTGCAGGAGGATGTTGCTGGTCACAGGTTACCAGTGTTTCTCTGCTCCTGTGTCTGCTCTGTGCAGCCTAGAAAGGGGATGCACATCCCAGGAATGTAAACTCTGCCCAAGGCCTCTGAGGAAATAGCTTCAGACCAGGAACAGGATTGCACTCAGCAATTAAGGGCTGGTCTCCCCAGCCACATGGCTCCTCGGGGGAGCCCTTTGCTCCAGTGCCAGAGGCTGGCCTTGTGTCTGAGAGGTGGCCCCAAGGGACCTTCCTGCAAAGACAGGCGTGAGGCCCTGTGTGGTCATGGTCTTTGCAATAACAGGATTCTGTCTGTCCAGCAAGTTGGCAGCAGCTTCTGCTCAGGGCAGCCTCTGGTCCTGGGTCTCGAGTAGGAGGAAACACTCCCTTCATCCCCCAACTCAAAATGATGCCTGGGGAGGGGGGGTGTCCCATTGGCCCAGGAGGGTCAGTGGGTGGCAAGAAGAGAGCACAGGCGTGCTCCAGCTATCACAGTGGGAACGTTACCTGCTCATTGCTGCCCAGCCAGGGGTCAAAGCATGAGCAGGCACCAAACACCCTGCTGGCAGCCCCTGTGCTGTGCTGCTGAGTGATGAGCTGCAGCACACCCGCCCCCCCACCTCGCACAGCTGGGGTTTCTGTGTGCTTATCTCTGCAGCATCTTTCTGCTAATTTGCCAGGCCCCACTGCAGCAGCTTTCTCACATGCTTAGTGGTACCTGGGAGCTCCAGCCAGAGCCCAGCTCCCGATGCCTGAGCTGCTGCTACCTGCATGGCCCAGTGGGGCTGGGGACAGGCAGCCGGTGTGTTCTGCATCCCCTGGGGACAGATCCCACGGGGTGCAGACAGGCCACAGTTGTCCTCATGCTGTAGGGACAGACCTCACACGGAGGTGGGCAGGGAAGCCCTGGAGCGACCTGTCTGCACTCCCAGGAGGACAGAAACGTGAATCATGGCAGGGACACAGAGTGTGTTATTCCCCTCAGAGCTGCAGCCCATGGGGGATCGTGTTGCCCGCTGGCATCTCTTCCCTTCCCACCTCCCATAGCTCCAGCTTCCCTGGCTCTGAGGCTTAAAAATAGAACAGAAAAGGCCACAGAGCTCCTTTGGGTTTACCCTTAGCAGCAAGGTTTGGCCCTAGACTTGCTTCAGGGATCCTCTATGTTCCCTTCCCTCCCAAGCTGGAGAGACCTCCCATGGCAGACAGAACCACGATGCTGTCCCCGGGGTTGAGGGGGCAGGGACTGACTGGGCAGGTGCAGGGCAGCTTGAGGAGAATTGGATGGGTGGCCGGGCATGAGGTGCCTGGGTGGGCACAGGGTAACAGCAAAGGAAGGGACTGGACAGATAGGAAAGGGGTGGCTGGGTGGGTACGGGTTAGCTGGGGGGTCGATCAGGCACGGGGCAGCACATGCTGACCCAGGGGAGGTGAGCAAGAACCGGGCGAGTGCAGTGAGCAGAGGAGCCCCGACACAAGAC